AAAGGACAGTTTAGATTACTCGTGCGTTAAAAAAGATGTTTTGCAGGCATATGAGCTAGTCCCCGAGGCCTATAGGCAGAGGTTTCGCCAGCAAAAGAAGTTGCCAACCCAAACTTATGTGGGGTTTGCAAGAGAAAAGGGGGTTCTCTTTGATAAGTGGTGTGTTGCTTCGAAAGCGAGTGACTATGACGCTCTGCGCGAATTAGTTTTGTTAGAGGATTTTAAGAAATGCAATCCTGAGCGTATTGTGCTATATTTAAAGGAACAGAAAGTGACGTCACTCGCATCTGCTGCTGTTCTTGCTGATGAGTTCGTGCTCACTCATAAAGCCTTGTTTACTGGCAGTGAGAAGCCACGGGTTAGCCCTGTGCAACAGGCCCACACAGCTAAAGTGTCGGGGTCCAGGGAAAACCGTGAATGTTTTTACTGTCATAAAACTGGACATGTGATTGCTGACTGTTTAGCCTTAAAATGCAAAACATCAAATGCTCAGCAACCCAAAGGGGTGGGTTTTGTAAAAGCTGAGGCCTGTCATGAGGTCCATGGTTGTGGTGGTAAGGTGCCAGACCCCTGTTTTGAACCATTCATTTTTGATGGCTCAGTATAGCTAACTGACAATCCATCTGAGTTAAAACCTGTGCGTATTTTAAGGGACACTGGAGGTTCTCAAACTGTCATCCTCTCAAGTGTTTTACCGTTTTCTACTGAAAGTGAATGTGGTTTTAATTCTGTTCTACGGGGGATAGAGATGGGTTACGCTCCCAGACCAGTTCACAGAGTTTTTATTAAATCAAACCTTGCTACAGGATTTTTCCCTGTTGCTGTTTGCCCGGCCTTGCCTATAGAGGGTGTGGCCATGCTGTTGGGCAATGATATTGCAGGAGGGGTAGTGCTCCCTCATCTGGAGGTTTTAGACAACCCCCTGAATCAGAAAACCACTGATGTTTCCATGCATCCTGGGCTGTATCCAGCCTGTGCGATTACTCGAGCACAAGCTCGTAAAGATACTGATATTGCCCTCTCTGATTCTGTGTTGATGTCCTCATTTTCCGAGGAGAATGATGTGCCCACTAAAAGAAACAATGTTCTGTCACCCCCAGACTCAATGAAACCTGAGGAGCCTGATCCATTTCCTAAAGTCTCTTCGCTGCCCTTGACTAGAGACCAGCTGTCAGCAGCTCAATTAGCTGATGAAACACTACAGAGCTGTTTCAAACGTACGGTAAGTGCTGAGCAAGACGAGAAAGAGCAACAAGCCTATTTTGTAGAACATGATGTTCTAATGCGTCAGTGGTCTCTCCACCAGGTGCAGAAGGTGCAGAATGGAGTAAAGTCCAGCAGATTGTCGTGCCCTCTGTACCGGCAGAAAATCCTGGCCCTTGCCCATGAAAGCCAGTGGTCGGGACACTTGGGCATCACGAAAACATACCAGCTACTATTAAAACATTTCTTTTGGCCTGGTATGAAGCGTGATGTTTCTGAATTTTGCAATAGTTGCCATGTATGTCAGATTGCAGGTAAACCTAATCAGGTCATACCCCCGGCTCCGTTGTGTCCCATTCCTGTAGTGGATCAGCCATTTGACCATGTCATAGTAGACTGTGTGGGTCCACTACCTAGAACAAAATCAGGAAAGCAATACCTTCTCACGATCATGTGTGCAGCTACCTGTTTCCCCGAGGCTGTCCCGTTACATAAGGTTACAGCAAAATCAGTTGTTAAGGCATTGACAACATTCTTTTCAGTGTTTGGCCTGCCAAAGGTCATACAGACTGACCAGGGCTCAAATTTTCAATCTAAGTTGTTCAAACAAGTGGCTAGCACTCTAGGTGTCAAGCATGTCGTGTCCTCTGCTTATCATCCTGAATCGCAAGGTGCATTAGAGCGGTGGCACCAGACCTTAAAGACGATGCTACGCAAATACTGCCTGAAGTCTGAAAAGAGCTGGGATGAGGGTGTTCCATTTGTGTTATTTGCTGCCCGTGACGCTGTGCAGGAGTCACTTGGTTTTAGTCCTTCTGAACTGGTATTTGGCCATAGGCCACGGGGACCCCTCAAAGCTCTGAAAGAGGCGTTTTTGAGCCCACATGGAGTTTTCGAAGTAAATGTAAGCAGTTATGTAAAGCACTTCCGTGAGCGTTTGAACCAAGCCAACGCTCTGGCTAAACAGCACCTTGCCGTTTCACAGGGAAAGATGAAACGCCATTATGATAAGGCTTCTGTTAAAAGAACCTTTCAGGTGGGTGACCAGGTTCTTGTGCTCTTGCCTGTTCCAGGCTCAGCCTTGTCTGCTAGGTATAGCGGCCCCTTTAAAGTTTGGGAAAAGAGAGGGGAGACAGATTATGTAATTTACACTCCCGACCGCAGACGCAAAACACGCGTCTGTCACATAAACATGTTGAAACTGTACCATCCGCGGTCAACACCAGAGCCTGCTGGGTTCTGTGCTCCTATTGTAGCCTCAAGCCACCTAGAGGAAGGAGGGGTGGATGAGGTTGATGGTTTAAAACTAAGTTATCCCACCTGTTCTAGACCCTGTCTGTCTAACTCTGAAATGCTGAATGCATTGCCGAGTTTTCTTGAGCATCTGTCTTCAGAGCAGCAAGAAGACATAACTGCCTTGATTAGGGAATACACCTGTTTATTCGGGGATGTGCCAACTTGCACTACAGTGCTAGAGCATGACATTGATGTCCAGGGAGCTAAACCTCAAAAGCAGCATCCTTATCGAGCCAGCCCCCATAAGCGCTTGCTCATGAAACAGGAGGCTGACTATCTGCTGCAACATGACTTAGCGAAGCCCAATCAAAGCCCCTGGAGCTCGCCTTGTATAGTGAAATCTAAGCCAGATGGCTCGCCCCATTTTATTACAGACTTCCGGAAGATGAACTCTGTGACTGTGGCTGACTCACATCCTCTCCCAAGAATTGAGGATTGTGTGGACAGTATTGGGACTGCTCAGTATGTCTCCAAATTAGATCTTCTTAAAGGTTACTGGCAGGTCCCTTTAACTGAACGTGCCTCTAACATCTCTGCCTTTGTTACACCTGATGATTTTCTACAATACACAGTCATGGCTTTCGGCATGTGTAACGCTCCTGCCACCTTCCAGAGGCTAGTAAATAAAGTCCTCCGTGGCCTGTCCAACTGCAGTGCCTACCTAGATGATCTAGTAGTTTACACTGAAACATGGCAAGATAATTTGGAAACGTTACACTAGGTATTTCACCGTTTGGCTCAAGCTACTCTAACTCTCAACTTAGCTAAGTGTGAGTTTGCCAAAGCTACAGTGACGTACTTAGGCAGGGAGGTGGGACGCGGACAGGTCCGGCCCATTGATGCCAAAGTGGCAGTGATTAAAGAGTTTCCCACACCTACCACCAGGCGTGAGTTACGTAGGTTTCTAGGGATGGTGGGCTAATACAGAAACTTTTGTAAAAATTTCTCCTCTGTAGTCAAGCCTTTGACTGATCTACTCAGCCCAAAGGTTGAGTTTATATGGTCAAGTGAGTGTCAAGATGCTTTTAAGAGTGCGAAAGCCCTCCTCTGCCACACACCTGTGTTAGCTGCACCTGATTTGACGCGACCATTCAAACTTGAGGTTGATGCCAGTGCTGTCGGGGCTGGGGCAGTGCTGTTGCAAGAAGACTTGCTGGGTTTGAACCACCCCGTTTGTTACTTTTCCCGCAAGTTCAATAAAAATCAGTTAAACTACTACACCATTGAAAAGGAGACCCTGGCTTTGTTGTTGGCTCTTCAGCACTTTCACGTGTACCTGGATCCAGTATGTTACCTCTTGTTGTGTACACCGACCACAACCCATTCGTGTTCCTTGCTCGCATGTTTAATCATAACCAGCGCCTTATGTGCTGGGCTCTGTTGTTGCAGCAATACAACTTAAGTATTCACCATAAAAAGGGGTCTGAAAATGTTTTAGCTGATGGTCTGTCCCGCTTGTAAACATGTTTTACTGTGTTTGTTCTTTGTTGTTGTTCACACTCTGTAATGTCTGCTTCTGCCCAACATAGTTGGTATTTTAAGGGGAGGGGTG